AACTCGTCTTCGGTCATGAGCGCAAACTGGTTGTCGGTCGAGAACACGGCGCCGCTGTGCTGCTTGTTGAGGTCATCGACGATCTTTTGGGTCGTCGCGAACCGGACGAGCTCGTCGTCGATGTCGCCGTCTTCGAGGTTGCCATTCTCTGTCTTGGGCGGAAGAAAGCCGTTGGCTTCGGCTTGCTTGCCGGCTTGGCTGGCCTTCCACGCCGCGAGCTTGGCTTCGAGGTCGACCTTTTCTTGAGCCGAGAGACGCAGGCCTTGGACGGCCGACGCAGCGAGAAGGAGGCAAGCGATCGACTTCATTGTGATGGTGTGAGGTGGTGGAGGGAAATTGGAAAATGAAAACACGATGCCGGTGTGAACTGCGCCATCGGCGTTGCATGCGACGCGCAGGGTTCGATTTCAAGAGCGGAGGCACTGTAGAAAAGGCTCTCTCTGAGTCAACTGAGTTGCGTATCTGAGTTGCGTATCTGAGTTTGTGGTCATATCCTGTGAGGCAAAGCCGTCAGTTGGTATTGTCGCGCGCATGAGGATTCCTAGAACTGCTAGGACTTTTGATGAGCATCAACTAGAACATTGGCTAACGTTACCGTCGCACGCGGCTGCTTGTGTTGCACTTTGAAATTGCACTTCTACGAACCGGCTCTACTCTCTTGCATTTCAAGCTGCCACGTCATCGCGCTTCGTCCAGCCTGTACCTGTACGATTGGCGTTGTCGCCATTCATGCTCTCGTTTCGTTTCAATGATACTATTGTTTGCATTGAGCAACGATAGCAAAGACCATTGTGGCTTCAGCTCGATTCAAACCCACATGAACTATTTTGTATGTTCTTATTCGTGTCCCGGTATTATATGTAATCAGGTACTGTATGCAATTGGTTGCGTTCGGACTCGAATGCGTTGGCAACTTTGCGGTAGCAAACACATGTCTGTGGAATTAGACTGCAAAACGGACGGAGACTAGGAATGGAAGTGCGCTGTGCATTTTCCAACATCGTTTATGGCGCGCAAGATTCGAAAGTGCCGTTGGCGCCACGACGCCACGCGTTTCGAATGTGTAGTAATGGAAAGGGCGCGGTGTGAAGACCACTCTTCCGACACCGAGCATGCAGCGAGAGCCAGGGCTTCGAAGCAGCGAGCGTTTGCTAATACGCCACCGTTGTCCCCATCGATCCGCGCATTGGGTACCGTCGGGCTTCATGCATCGGTCCATTTCGACTGCTGTGGAAGAGGTGTTCCACGTGAACCAACCGGCACCCGGGCCATTTCCCAATTTGCAGCCCGTAGCATACAGCTAGAATCGCCTCGTCCACCATTAGGCAGGTGGGGCACCAATGCAATCGATGCCCTAAAGCGCTCGGCCTTTGAAAGAGGAACAGTTGGCGAGAAGTGTTGCTGCCGCATGCCGATGAGGCTTCGAAGAGGAGTTTGCGTCCTGCATGTCGCCCGGAATAATGGAACCACAGCTCGGTTCGACAGCGACGGAAGGGTCCAATGCATCGCTCATTGTCCAACGGTATGCGTTGTGGTTTGCCGTTGGGGGCTCGTGGCGACGACCAAGTAGTACCTCAGAACGAGATTACCTTTATATATTGATATCGTAGTGGGATATCTCGAAAATATGTCGCAGGTAATCCAGTATGGGAGGTCATGGAGAGGTGTCCTGGATTAGTCGAGCTGGTCGATACTTGTTCAGGATAATGCCTATAATGGCAGGTGGGGTGCATCCCAACTAGGAAAAGGCCTATTTGAATTGGCCACACGGAGAGGATTTGCCTGCCATGTCGGTCGTCTTGCAGCACCGCGTGAAGAAGCTCTTGGCGAGCCAGGCAGAGATGGCGAGCGCCAAGAGCCTGCTCGGGTCGCTGCCAGCGCTCGTGGCCCTCGACGTCGACGCGACCACCTCGGACGTGCGTACCTCGCTCAAGAGCAGCCTCGACAACGCCAGCCTCCGCGTCGCGGAAGGCCTTCTCGGCGAGATGGACGCGGTGCTGGCGTCAATCGGCGCGCTCAAGCAGCAGGCAGAGGCCATGGACGTCACGTGCCAGCACGTCGCTGCGTACCTCGACACGACCGAGCGCACGTCGAACGCGTTTGTCGCGCAGGCCGCGGCCCTCACGTACGCCATGATGTGCATGCGCTTGAGCATCGTCCGACCACGACGCGTGTATGTAGGGGCGAGCAGCGCGCGCTACAGGCCGAGATGGAC